ATATATATTTCAATTTATGTAATATATTTACTAAAAAATTTTGTATATTGTATATAAATGTATACGCTTCAAGAATCAATGCTTCGAGTTCGACCTTTTCCAATAAACGAGGAAATTCTAAAATCCACAATAATATGAAATGGTAATATAATTATTGATACTCATCCGAATTATCTTTCACTTAATATTAATATGTAATAATATTGTATGAAATAAAAAAACGGTACTACATATAGAAACAATGCAATTAAAAGATAAGATTATGATGCATTTATGCATTACTTGTCGCAATGAGTTTCAAAGATCTTGTTAAAAATCGGCTGTATCTGTTCCAGCATATCCGAAGTCAACGTTGCCCTCTGTTTTATTTTAAAGGCTGACGCATTGGATTCTCGGATTAATCTTGATGCGGCATAACACGCTACTATTGAAGGAGACAAGGCACATTCGCTAGTTCCTGCAGAGATAGCCCACCACCAAAATACTGCTAATGAACCAGATAAGAGATCTCCTTGTCCACCACATCTCCTTCCAGAACCAGCCAATGCACACGATACAGTCTCAGTGCCTTTGTGACCATCTGCAATCACATCTTTTGCTCCCTTATATAAAATTACGACATTTTTCCCAAGAGTTTCCGCCACATGCTTCACGTCGGAAACTTTAACTACAGGAGTAGGTGGGATAGTTCTGTCCAGTACTGCTTTGATCAAACGACTGAACTCCATTGCGTTAGGTGTTAGGATAACTCCAGGATAATCCTTTATGATTTCTGGCTTCTGACAGACCAGAAACAAACCATCAGCGTCGATAATCAGTGGCTTCCTTGCCTCTCGGCAGATTGTTATCAATTCAATGATCGTTTTGAATATCTTCTCATCTCTGCCAAGCCCAGGTCCGATCAGAATAACATGCAGACGATCAAGCCAGGGTTTTATTTGTTTTATTGCATCCTGATGATCCAGAACTGGATGAACTATCGGCTCTGGACTGAATGACTTGATAGGAATGCTAGCGTCCTTTACACAAAATACATGAACAAGATCAGCGCCGGTTCTTAGTGCACTCATGGCTGCGAAATACGGTGCTCCCGTGTATTCGATGCTACCACCAAAGATTCCAATTCTGCCGTCTTGACCCTTGTACTTGGTATTGATCAAATTTGGTACCACCTTCCGTATTCCCTTCAACATACGTTCATCCATAGATGATGATGCAGACATCGTAGACATTGATACAAATCTGATATATTGCCTGTAGACAAAATTACACATAACAAATGCCATTTTTGAGGCAAGGAAAATTAGCTCTTAAAGAATATATACGAGTACATATCATTCGAAAACTAATCACAAATCTTTTACAAGAAAAAAAAACTGCAAGATTTACAAATCAAGTTATCTATATTATTCAAATTTTGGCTTGTTTTTACCTGTAATAACTGACAAAATTATTTCCTAATCTCTTCGCACAATGAAAGCTATCGAACAAGACGCACAAATGTCACCAAACGAAACTACTTATTATTCTTATATTATTACAATGAGTTTTCAATATATCTGTCAGAACAATCTGTTCTAATTAACTATTGATACTAAAATTGATAAATTCCGTTGCAAAAGGAGTAATCGTAAATAATATTGCGAGTCAAATGTAACTAGGAACGATTTTGATTACACATATCTTTGTTCTGTTCATCGGCCAATTAACATACAGATTTATTTCATTTACTAAAAAATTGACGAGTCAGATACGAAAATGCCGCGTCAACATAACCTCAAAATACAATAAGTTTCGCACGCATACTTTTATTATAATACTTATTATAAAATATGTTACATTAGTATACACAGTATGTTTTAATAACAATATTCTTTAAATTTAAACGTAATGTACAAAATAACGCTGGAAAAGTCGCAATTGATGGTTAAAATATATAATCTTTCCGTTGGATTAAATAATTACGAGTTGCAACTGGTTGCAACTGATTTTATTATAAATCAAAACAAATCAGATGATAAAAGATTTGCTTTTGCATTTTCTTCCACATAATCTCGACTACTTTGTAAGAAAAAAAGGAAACAATAATGAAGCAACAATGCTCTTGAAAACGCGAAATAATCGAGAATTTTTTTTCATAATTCTCTTTTTCATTTTTCCTAAAATAAAAGGTTAAGTCAGCTTAAGCCTGGATTGAGAATGAGACTCATAAATGAGAGATCAGACATCGACCAATCAAATGACGCCGATTTCAATCTGCTTCGTCCCGAGTGGTCGCACCTAACCTTTAATTTTCACAAAGTATTGCCGATACGAGCTTAAGCCTTTTCTGTTCTCTGTCGAACACGTTGTTCTAACCGCATCCTGGTAGAAACCAACGGGGCAGGAATTCCTTAGGAAGGATGAGTCTTGGCAAAGTATATTCTTTTACAAATTTCATTTTAAATTAATATAGCTTTAGAAATTTAAAGAATGTGCAAAATATTTATGATAAGTGTTTTTTTAAGCTTTGAAATATATGACAAATTTTCTTCTTGGAATCACACATGTCGTGCAATTATAGTGGGATTCTGATCAATTTCATGTTTTTTATGGATACAAATTAATTTTTCGATCTTAAAATCTTTCCAGATGTTGACGACGAATGCGAAGATAATTAAGAGTAACGGGGCCGAGCCCGATCAGTTCGAGGTTAGCGTTTCTCAAGCCCTCCTCGAATTGGAGATGAACAGCGATCTAAAATCGCAGTTAAGGGAACTCTACATCACGAAAGCGAAGGAAATTGAAACGAATAATAAGAAGGTGAAGTCTTGTTTCTTGCAATCTGCTTGTTATCTGAATCCATTCTTCAATATGTTTTAACAATTTTTTTGTTTATTTAAAATTTAAGCTTATTCTACAATGTGCTTTTTTGTTTTCTGTTTTTTGTTATTTTTTTCATCTTGTCTTTTTGCTTCTTATCCGGCTTTTTATTTTATATCGCTTGAGTTAAAAATTAATAAACTTCGAAACAAACAAATACATAATAAGAAATACAATTGTATATAAAACGGAGTTGCAAAGGAGAACAAGGTAAAAAACAAGAAACAGGAATCAAAGAGCACATTATAGAATATATGAATAATTTAACAGTCAAGTTTGTGTTATTTTTTATTTTCAATTAAAATATGAGTTTTTAAGTGGATTATTGTTTATCATATTCTTTTATTTGTAATTTTCAATCAATCAACTTCTTATAAAAATAAGTATTCATGAAATATGTTGATCAGAATTGAGAATCCAAAATTTGGAACTACGAATTGAATGATTGCTCTTGTATAGAACCACATTTTTCTTATGTTAATATTATTTTTTTAATGACTTTACATACTTGCAACTATATAAAAATCAATTAATTTTAGTAAAGCATTTACATTCTAACATCTTTTTGTATATAATATTCCTTCAAGAAACTATTTTGAGACAGACCTCTGTTTTCTTACAGTCTATTATTATATACGTACCTATGCCGAAGCTGAAAGCATTCCAGAAAATTCAGACACGACTGGTACGTGAGCTAGAGAAGAAGTTCTCTGGAAAGCATGTGATGTTCATCGGCGAGCGTAAAATCTTGCCCAAGCCGACGAGGAAAACGCGAACCAAGAACAAGCAGAAACGTCCTAGAAGGTAAGAAAATAAAAAAAACCTAGATGAAAATATAAGTATGTTTTGGTAAAATTAGAAATCTTTAACTGAACTATTATATGGTCCATGTTTTCTCTCTTTCTTTTCATTGAAGAGAAAAAAAGAGAGAAGAAGCTTCGCAAGAAGTTTGACTTCTTGTAAAAGGACATACTTCAGTTGAATAAAACAATTATATTTATATAGCATTAATGGAATTGTCATATGATATTACACATAACTATGTGATTAATATTCTATGATACATTTTCTTTCAGCCGTACGCTGACTTCGGTTTATGATGCGATATTGGAGGATTTAGTATATCCCGTAGAAATTGTTGGTAAGCGTATCAGAGTCAAACTCGATGGATCACAGCTTATTAAAGTTCATCTCGATAAAAACGAACAGACAAATATCGAGCATAAGGTAATCATATTCTCCTTTATTTTGCACAAAATATTAGTTTTATCGTTTGACAATAATTTGTTACATACTTTGATATATCTTTAAACAGGTCGACACCTTCGCTTCAGTTTACAAGCAGCTGACTGGACGGGACGTTACGTTCGAATTCCCTGAATCATATGTATGATAAATGTAAAAAAAATTAAAAGTATTTTAATCTACATTCTCATTTACATCTCTTTTTGTGTCTGCCTTTATTATTTAGTATGTTAGTTTTATATATGTTATTTCTATATATGTATAGAAATACTTTTTTAGTTTAGAGAGAAGAGGAGACTCAATGATATGAACATAGAAGATAGAAGGCAAGAAACCATTAAAATTTACTTGCAGAAAAATTAAGTTAATTGTATACTGCTGTGATATAACATTCTTCGTTTATATTGATTAATTAATTTGCAGTTTTATGTAATTTAAATAACATTTGAATAAATCAAATTTGTTAAAAAATAATTATAAATAATTAGATAAGATGATAAAATTGTTTTATCAACAATCTAAAAAAGAATATAATACAATTCATTAATAATTCAAAAATTATTTGTAAAGTTTGTAAAA